GAGGGGGAGCGAGGGGCGCATGGCTGAGTGGGCCTGGGAAACAGGGGGGAGCGGGGCCAAGCGGGCCCAGGGGAGGGGGGCGGGCAGCGGAGCAGGCTGGGGGAGAGGGGGATGCGCGGAGGAGGGGGAGGGAGCTGGAGGTGTGTGGCAGAGCAGGTGGGGGGAAAAGGGGGCATGCGCAGAGGGAGGGAGCTGGAGGCGCACGGCAGAGTGGGCAGGGGAAAAGGGGGCGCGTGCAGCAGGGCAGGCAGCGGGAGGGAGAGGGGGGCATGCAGTGGAGCGGGATGCACAGCAGAGAGGGCCCGGGGGAGAGGGCGCACGGCAGAGCGGGCGGGAGGAGAGGGGGGCGTACAATGTAGCGGGCTCAGGCAAGGAGGGCAGGCGGGGGGAGTTGGAGGTGCGTGGTGGAGCGGGTGGGGGGAGAGGGGGCGGGTGGCAGAAGGGGGGAGAGGGGGCGCGTGGCAAAGAGGGCAGGGGTGCTGGGAGCGTGCGGCTGAGCGGGCGGAGTCAGAGGGGGTAGGTGGCGGGGGGGAAGAGGGGGCATGTGGTGGAGAGGGTCCAGGTAAGAAGGGCGTGCGGCGGAGCGGGTGGGGGGACGGGGTGGGCGGCGGAAGGGGGGAGAGTGAGGCGCGCAGCGGAACGGGTGGGGGGAGCTGGAGGCGTGCGGTGGAGCGGGCAGGGGGAGAGGGGGGCATACAGTGGAGTGGGCCCAGGCGAGGAGGGCGCGCTGCGGAGCGGGTGAGGGGAGCTGGAGGCGCGCAGCACAGTGGGCCCGGGGGGAGTGAGTGGCAGGTGCATGGTTGAGTGGGCACAGACAGGAGAACTGGGGGGCACATGGCTGAGCGGGGGGCGCAGGGTGAGCTGGGGCACATGACAGAACAGCGGGGTCAGGGGATGAGGCACACAAGGCTGCCGGCCCAGGCTCAGCGGCTGCTGATGGGTGCTGAGGCAGGGTGACTAGGTGGGGCTCCAGGCTGTTTATCACGCCCAGGGGATCAGTGACCCAGCACCCCCTGCTCCCCTCTCTCTGGTTCCAGTCCCTGTGGGGTACCGGCTCTGTGGGGATAATAAAGCCCCCGGATTCCCCTCTGTGCCCGGCACTCCCTGTGTCTCTGCATTAGGAGCTGCCCCCAGGAGAGGAAACCAGAGCATCTGTTAGCATTTATTGTGGGGTGCCCCCTTGCTGGGGCCCAGCCCTGAGTCACCCCTGTCCTGCACAGTGCCCCCAGCACCAGCAGTGACTGCGAGGGCAGAGTGCCCCGCCCCATTCCCTGCACCCCACGGTTTTAGCTGTGGAAGTGCTTTGCTCGCTGCTGGAGTCAGCCTCTGCTCTTGTGTGCACATGCTGTCCCGTCCTGTCTGAGCCCCTGGGTGCTCTCCTGCCCCGCACGCTCCCTGCAGCACCCTGCCCCGGTGCAAGGGCACATTCCCGTGGGTGCCTTCGACCCTGCACCTAGCGGGGGGGAGAGGCTCAGCCCAGGCTGCCGGGGCAGGGGTGTGAAATATTCCCAGCTCCTGCCAATGGAAACAGCTGGAGCCCCGGGAAGATGGAAGGGCTGGGCGCTGGCTGGGCCAGGCACGTCTGCTGAGCCCCCCACCCCTGGAAGTGACCCTTTGAGTGCACTGCCTCTGGGGAAGGGTCCTGGCTAACAAAGGGCTGATCGCAGGCACAGGACCCCCTTACTTCCCTCTGCAGGACACTGGTTCCAGCCTGCCCAGTCTCCCTGGCTCGGGCAGGAACAGGGCGTGCCAGGCATGAGCCTTTGCTCAGGGGGTGGGCACAACTGGGCTGCGTCCCGGGCTGGGCACCCATCTGCCCTGAGAGCCAGGAGGCCCACGGTCAAGCAATGAAAAGCCGGCCGCCAGGACTCCTAGGTTCCCTCCCCAGCTCTGGGAGGGCACGGGGGCTGGATGGGGATCAGGACTCCTGGGTTCTGCACTCACTGTCTCCTCGTGCCAGCCCCTCGCCCTGTGGCCTTGCCAGGCCGCTTGTGGTTTTGCTGGGAAGGGGGGTGGCCACCACAGCAGGAAGTGTCCCCACACTCTCCCGCCCCCAGGGCCTCACACATCCTCCCCACCACCCCCTCGCAGTCCTCTGTGGCTGCGAGCGGCGGGCTCTGTGCAGCGATAAGCCCGTGGAGGGGAAGCTGCTCACCGTGGGGCTGAGCACAGCCACTCGTGACACTGGTGTCAGCCAGGAACTTCCCCTCCTCGCTTGCCAGCCCTCACACGGAGCCTCCCTGGTCCTGCTCCGCTGCACTGAACCAGCGTGAGGCGAGGAGGGGGCTGCTGGGCCCCCAGCCCCTCACTGGCAGCAACACAAGGGTGGGAGTTGGCTCCTGGGAGAGCCCCAGTGCTCGGGGTTGCACTGAGCTGGGGGATGGGCTGAGGGGCTGGTCCTGCGGAGGTGGGAATGGGGTGGAGCCTGGGGCTTGGGCCGGGGGTCGGGCTGTGCCCAGGGCAGTGTGGAAGGAAGGGGGTCGGAGCCCAGGGGATGGGCCGCGGGTCGGGCTGCGCCCGGGGCGGTGTGGGAGGAAGGGGATCGGAGCCCAGGGGATGGGCCGTGGGTCGGGCTGTGCCCAGGGCAGTGTGGAAGGAAGGGGGTCGGAGCCCAGG